ATGATTTTTTATATGCTTTAGAGAATTTTAAGTCTAATCACAATTCAAAAGATGATTGATCTTGCGATCTTTGAATTGCTTCAAAAGTTAAAACTTGCATCTACAAATTATTTGTTAATGAAATAGCAATGCCAATTTTCTATGTAAAATGATATTGTAAACTTTTAATTGTTCTGCTATTGTCACCAGAAATGTGATACAGCACAACCGTAATAAGGTTGATATATGCATGGAGAGTCTAAAAGCAAGAGTATGTGTTTACTTCTATTTACTATTACTTAGTTTTCCTGTTTAAAATGAGTGACTGATAAAAAAGTTTGCATGTACCCCATTGTGTTCATTTCTCAGACAGGTGTTACTTCTTTTATTTCTATATGCTATTTCTTCCGCCTGTGTTTCTTGTTTTTTTCCCCGCACTAAGTGGATTTTATTTTGTAATTTTACCCTGTCTTTACTCTTACCAACCCGGTTGTTGTTTATCTTCCATGTGCTGTCAACAATCTCCTAATATATCACAGGCCTACACCAGCCAGTTCATTGCCCTGGTCCTGTTTGCTCTGGTCATGAGTGAGGACCGCATCTCTCTCCAGCCACGCAGAATGGAAATTATCAATGGGCTTAAGAAACTGCCAGGTATGTTGTTCCGACCTTGTCTACTCTTACAATTATGATGGCAGTTTCTGTACATTTTCTTATAAGCAATAATACTAAGCTGTGCTTGAAAATAAAAATGACTAGTAAATAAAGACACACCAGACTCGAGTGGGTGATCTGCACTCTGTTGTTAACGAGTTATTTCTTTGCACTCACTCCAACTGACATTTTTTTTCACGCTGTTGCCAAATGAGCCCATTTTGCCGTTGACATGAGATGTATAATTAAGACTACTACATTGCATACTCTGCCATCTCATACTGATGGTCAGTGTCTACTACCAAAAAGGAAAATCCCCCCCCAATGTGTGCATGATTCAGCAAGCCAGCAGTTTGTTCTTAACAAAATGAGATTTTCATTACCGTCGAGATGGTATTAGTATTAAAGCCCCCCCCCCCCTT